CCGATCACTTTCCGCGCCCCCGAGCGGCCCGGCCCGGCCCGCCCGGGCGAGCCTCTCGGCATCCGCTGTCCCTCTGCGATCGCCGCTTGTCCGGGGTCCCCGTCCCTCGGGCTCAGCGCCGTGTGGCCACCGGCTGAGTGTCTTTTCAAAAGATTGGCCTGTGCTGGTGACGAACCGGACTCGGGCAGCCGGACGCGTTTGGGGCGTTGTTTTTTTTTTTTTTGGAAAAGAACCTCCCGGGCCGCTCTGTACTAGGTCAGGGTCGGGCCGCAAGGGTGAAAAAGATGAAAAAGAAAAGCCGTTGCTTTTTTCTTCTCTCTAAGCTCCGGAAAGAGACCCACCCGACCGCGGGTGTTTTCTAGGGCCGCGAGTGTCTGAGCCCATTTTGAAGCTCGTGGAGAAGTCTATTTTCGAAAATAAAAAAAAATATGGTCAGTAATACTGCAGAGACACATGCGTCACAGGGAAGATGATTGTGGTGAGAGCGGGTCCAGAGCCCTAGGGAGGTTACCATCTGCAGGAAGGTTCTGGTATAGTTAGCTTCATCCCGAGGGGATGTGTGAGAAGTGGAGTGTGGATCTGCGCTCTAGAATGTTTTCACATAGACGGGAGAAGACACAGCCGAGCGAATGCACGTGTCTCCTCTGTGCGAGGGAGAGCCGGTAATGTGAGTTTAGTTTTTCTTAACCTGTCCCGGATTCGGCAGCTTCTTTGGCATTTGAAGGCATTTTGCTCTTTTTCTGTGTTTTTTGTTTTTGTCTCTTTTTCCCCCCCCCTTTTCACACTTAAATTCACCACTGTGAGAAAGGTGAATATCAGCCAGGGGTCTCCCCCGCCCTACGTCCAGGTTCCTGTCATCTGCCTTCCCAGAGCAGCTCGCAGGATTCTTCTGTGAAGCCCGGAGCTTCGTGTTGCTGGTGCCCTTTGTACCCGATAAAGACCCTTGGATAGTTCAACATTCCAGATCGGCACTTGTAATAACCTGGCTATCAGCGCTGTTTGACTTAACCTGTTGCCAACTTTGCAGAATCAAAAATTTCTGCCCAGGGTTCCTTCTTTTGTTGAAGGAGTTGGAGATTTTAAAACACGCTAAAAAGAAAGGTCTCGGCGTGTGTGTTCTGATGGTTGCAGTCGCTTCTTGCATTTTCTCTCTGTTGTTACAATCTGGAGCTATGCTAATTTGAGTTTTGGATGTGACATGAGGGCACGCTGCTGGGATGGTGGTGATGATACTGCCAGGGTCTCTTTACTCTGTAGTATTGTTATTGTCCTTTCTTTTTGACATGTGGGAAGTTCTCTAGACTTGAATGCCTAATGAGTTTTTTTAAGTAGTTCTGGTTAGACCCAGGTGGACCCCCTCAGGCAGTAGGACATGATATTTTCTGGCTACTAAATAAAAATAAGGGAGCATCCCTGGGTGCTGAGTGGAGAACCAGGGTCCAGTGTGCATTTCTGTAAGAGTCAAGCCAGACACAGTGAGTGCAGTGTCCATCTGTTCCCTAGGCCTGACATCTAGTAGCCCTCTTAATTCTGTTGTTCTGTTAGGTGCTTTTTAAATGCTCTTCAGAAGTCCAGGAGCCTGCCAGCATGGCCTCTGGCAGCAAGTGTTATGAGAAGATTCATAGGGAGGGAGGCCTAGAGCTAAGCCGCTAGTCCCCCTGTGGGGAGTGGTGACTAGAATTTGGACAGTTTTTTGCTTGTGTTTTTTTTTTTTTTTTTGAGGGGGAAGCTTTTGTGCCTTTTACTGTGAAGGGTAAAGGTGTGAACTAGCAATTTCCTTTGTTCAGAAGCATTTGTACTCAAACTTAATGCCTTAATTTTTTTTATTTATTTTTTTAATAAAGGCAAGTGGTGAACCAGTTGTGGTGTCAGGACAAATTACAGGATTGACTGAAGGCCAACATGGGTTCCATGTTCATCAGTTTGGGGATAATACACAAGGTAGGTCTTATGCTGGCTAGTGACCGGTAAAACACATGGGACTGAGCGGAGACTCAACTGTTAATGATTAAAAAAGAATACAATTTTCTTTCTTTCTTTCTTTTTAAAGATTTAAGTTAAAATAACCACTTAGGTCAACCTTGAGGAAAGTAGCCATAAAAAGTGTGTTTGAGGGGCTGGAGAGATGGCTCAGAGGTTAAGAGCACTGGCTGCTCTTCCAGAGGTCCTGAGTTCAATTCCCAGCAACCACATGGTGGCTCACAACCATCTGTAATGAGATCTGGTGCCCTCTTCTGACCTGCAAGCATAAATGTAGGCAGAACACTGTATACATAATAAATAAATCTTTTTTTAAAAATGTGTTTGAATCCTTAGGTGTGAAGGAAGGTGAAGGAGTTGATTTTTTTTTTTTTTTTTTTAATTGTCGTAGTGGCTTGAGTTTAAAACACATAAACAAAAAAAAAAATCAGGCTCCTGCTTTGGGTAATTCTTCGAGGTGTTTGGAGCTGGAGTTGAGGGTGGGTGTTTTAGGCACAGTGTCTGGGAACAGCCCCAAGCCTTGGCATGAGGGGCATTATGGGACAGAAGTGATGAGAACTGAAGATACAACATAGGTGCTTAGAATGAGGTGTATTTTCTCAATTTGGGGGTAGAATCAAGTCAGCAAAAAGTGGTGGGTCAAATTGCATTTAGTGATCTTTTGCCACATGGGAGTAATGATCTGAATTTTGTTCACACACTTGTAAGAAGAGCCCCATTCATGAGAGAGCTTTTCCTCCTTTCCCCTGGCCTCTCCTCTCTTGCCTCCCTTCTCCACACAGCCCAGGCTGGTCTGGAACTTGTGTTGTATTCCAGACCAGTCTCTGAACTTGTCCTTTAAGTCTTGTGTGTGCTGGGTTATGGCATGTACTATTAGAACCTGTGTGTAATGTGGCACAATTTGGTCTACAGTTACTTATGATCAAGTTTGATCCATTCTGATAATAACTAAAATTCCCCTAAGTTGCTTTGCCTCTGCTGATAGCTTTGATTTGCTAAACTCCTTTCTGAATGCCCTGTACTTATTCTCTGGGCCTGGGTAGAGGCTGTAAACAATGGAAAGCCCTGCATGAAAGGGCTTCCTGCACTGTTATGGTTGTGTTGGCCCACAAGAGTACCTGTAATACTGGTTACACCCCTTGAGTTGTGTAGGGCAGCAGCCTTGGCCCTTAGGCATAAGGTTCCATTTAACAATCTGCTTGCCCCAAGTAAAGGCTTGGTGGCACATGGTCTTGAAAGACAAGTGTTTTTGTCATAAAGGTATGCCAGTTTCTGTAAAGTCAAGATCTTTAAATGAGGGACATCAGAAGAGCCATTGAAGATCACATCTGCTCCACTTGAAAGGAAGGAGTCAGAGCCAGCATGGTGTGACACTCCATGCTTCTAGCACTTGGAAGGCTGAGGCAGGAGGATCACAAGTTGCAGGTATCCTGAGCTGTAATAGTGAGACTTTTTTCAAAAACTAAAGGAAAAGTGACAGCCTAGAGAAAGAAGGTAGCTTGAGAATATAAGGCTATACACCCCTGCTCTTTATACCACATGTTCCTTCTTGTTTCTGTCACCCCAGCACACACCAGGCCAGTGTTTGCTGTGTTAGAAGTTGTGAGAATGCTCGTGTTGTTACATGCAGGCATTTGCTTTGTAATCTAACTGCTGGTTTCTGGTGGATAGGCTGTACCAGTGCAGGTCCTCATTTCAATCCTCACTCCAAGAAACATGGCGGACCAGCGGATCAAGAGAGGTGAGCAGCATGCTCCATATGCATGATGGTGGAGAGGCCACCTGTGAGACAGAACCCAGTGTCGCCCTGCTTTTGTATTTTCTTTCATTTCACAGCTTCCCTATCCACAAGTGCTGGAATGGTTTATTTTGGGTAAAGGAGTTGACAAATGGGGACTCTTAATGTGATTTAGTTTTGTAGCATTTATTGAAGATGAACTAATACAAGTGCCCAAAGGAATCAATACAGAAAATGTCAAGGATAACAGTACTGTTGTTAGTCACTAGCAAAGTAAGTCATTGTGTAACAAGACACTAATGTAGATAATCAAGGCTAGTTGAGACCCCATGTATATGTTCAATTTCAGGGAAGTCCGAAATGTAAAAGACTGGCTTGATTTTATACTGGAGGCCTGGGAGCAAAACTTGGCTAATAAGTATGCTAACTCAGGAGTCGAGTTCATCCTTTGCCACAGTCCCGGAAATGAGAATGTATCCCAGACAGACCATGACTTTTGAACTGTGGGTTCAGGGTATCCTAGCTACCTGTTGTAAAATGTTTCCAGATCTTTGTCTGGAGAAGTGGTCAGATTTGATATGTGCACCTATTAACCCACTGATAGGTATGTGCCTTAGTCAAGATGTTAATGTAGCTCTTGAACTCCACTGATGTGAATGAAGTAGACATCAGTGTTATCCACTTGATGCTGTTCTAATGTTAGGCATGTTGGAGACCTGGGCAATGTGACTGCTGGAAAGGATGGTGTGGCCAATGTGGCCATTGAAGATCCTATGATCTCACTCACAGGAGAGCATTCCGTCATTGGCCGAACAATGGTGGTAAGTTTTCATATGAGAACATACATAGGATGTCTTCTAACATGGTTATATACCTTTCCATGACTTGATGATTGTCAAACTAGTTTCTAAAGAATCACATAAACTGTAAGAGTTCAGAATAGGAAAAAAGGTTTTATTGGATATGATAGTGAAGAATTAATTTGCCTAGGTCAGTTAAGAACACTGTTCTGCTGAGATGCAGTAGAAAGAAGGTTACATTTGATCAGACTGGGTCTAAGTAGAAGAAACAGTAGTCTTGAGTTGAAAACAGCCAGATTTTCTTGCCATGATTGCCCCCCTTACAGTTAAACATTTCGTTGAGTGTAAAATCTGCGATGGATGTCAGTATTCAAGTCTGTAGTTATCATCGCTTGGTTACCATATGGGAGCCGTCTTCCCAAGTTACCCTCGGGAGCTGAATCTGGTTCATGCAGAACAAGCAGTAAAGGCTCTTGCCCACCTCGGGCAGCTACCTTTTCAGTAGGCACTTCCTTTCAGTTGACCCTTTATCCTTAGAATTTTCTTCAGCCCTATTGGTGAAGCAGAACAGTCATTTATACATGTTTTAAAAATAAAATTTAAAGTCTTGTTGCTAAATAAAGATATTTAGAATTGCCTCTTATTTGTAGGCCTATAGTTCACTGACGTGAGATTTTTAATAGCAAAAACTTTGGGGTGTGTATGTGTGAGGCTAAAGTCAGCATGTGGCCCATTACAGTCACTTGGGTCCTTAATATTTCATTTAGAAACAGCAACATTTACCTAGCTTTTAACGGCAATGTGTCTTTGTTACTAGCAAGGAAAAGCTTAGTTGTCTGCTCTTAAATGCCAGCTTATTTACTAATAGATCGGAACATTTTGTAATGGTCCTTTTAAATCTTTGTGGTATTGCCGGGAAGAGGTACTAATTACTTGATTGCCCAAAGCTAAATGTTAATTCTTTTCAAAGGTCCACGAGAAAGAAGATGACCTGGGCAAAGGTGGAAATGATGAAAGCACAAAGACTGGGAACGCCGGCAGCCGCTTGGCTTGTGGCGTGATTGGGATTGCCCAGTAAACATTCCCTGTGTGGCCGGGTCTCAGATCATCTGCCATCCTGCCAAACTAGAGAGAAAACCATTAAACTGTAATATTAAAAATGTAACTGTGTGACTCCTCTTTGATTGCTTTAAGGACTTGTAATGAGAACTGATAATGTTCAGAAGAGGTGTATAGTTTTATAACTCACTAAACTAAAACCGGTTTCCATGTGTCTCTGTGTTTTGCCAGACTTAATTACACATGGATATTAAACTCAAATTAATTCTCATTCAAGCTTGTGAGTAAACATGTGTGACACTTATTTTGAGCCTATTAATGTATACAAGTAAAAATTCGAAGTCAGCCCTTGTATTAAGCATCAGCAGCAGACTCAGTGATGCTAATTTTCACAGTACTGGGTTTTGAAAGTGTTTTATGTGATACTGTCAAAACGTATGCCTGGTCTGGTAGCCCAAACTGAATTTGATCTTCGAAAACTTGCTGCCTTTTTTTAGTAGCTTCAGAGAAATTACCTAAAGCTCTCCTTTTAGATTCAGAGTACCTAACTACTTTATTTTAAAATAAAAATATTACACTTAGATGTCAGAATTGAAGAAAAAGCCCTTCAGTTACTTGCATTGAACTCATAAAAGGTAAATCTATAGCCTCAGCTAGCCAAAGTTAATTTAGTACCTACTCTCCTGGCACCATCTGTGTTGGTGCTCTGGAAAAACATGGCAGCATGTGGGGGGAGGGGAGGGAGATGAAACCAAATTTGACTGGAGGTTCTGACTAAATCCTGACTTTTTACAACACAAGTTAACGAAATTGAGTGTCTCTTAATATGTACCTAAGAAAAACTCCCTTTTAAAGGAAACACACACCTGACTGGCTTGTGACTCTGGAATAGTTAATTCAACTGAAATATTCCTGACAAATCAGGTGTAAGCCATAGTCCTGTTCATTCATAATCATGATTTTTCAAACACAGGTCACTGGGAGACTGCTAAATTGGAAAAGGATAATTTTTTGGTGTTGCCAAGTTTTAAAGCTGCTCATGGAATGTGTTCTTAAGTGGTTATGTTGGAGTTTGAGGTAAATAATATGTCACAGATTTCCTTTGATGTGTGGGATGATTCAAATGCAGAGATGAAACATCTGGTGTAATCACAAACCAGCTGTGTTGTTTAGTGGTTCATTTCTCAATAGTTTTAGTTGGAGATTTAAATTTGTCCTTGAAATCTGGGCACTGGAATAATCAGGTGTGTTTTTTCCTTCCCAGAAGTATACTAGAGCAAGAACTTAAAAATTGAAGTAGGGTCAGCATAAAACTCAAACCTGCAACAGCTACAGACAGGTTTCCCCATCACCACAAAGACCTTGCATTTAAAACTCCAGTGAGACCACACAAAAAGGAACTTCCCAGTACCCTAACGCTAAGCCAGTTTAGGAAATTTTTTTGCTTAACTTAGCATCTTGTGGTTTTAAAATCACATTTATGTTTAGGGTTATGTGCATGAGAGGAAAATGAGTTCTTCCACCACTTGGGTCCCAGGGATCAAACTGAGGCCATCAAGGTTGGCACAGAGTGTCTTGACTGGCTGAGTCATCTTGCTTGCTCTTCATGTAATTTTAGGAAAAAGTAACTTGCAGACTAAATCAGTGGTTCTCAACCTGTGGGTCACAATCCCCTTGGGGGTCGGTCTCTTATCAGATATTTATGATTCCTAACAGCCAAGTTACAGCTATGAAGTAGCAATGAAACAGTTTCATGGTTGGGGGTCAGCACAGCATGAGGAAGGTTGAGAGCTGCTGCTGTAAAGAAATCCCTGACTCTGGACAACTCACATGTGTGCCAGTGCTTTTCACTATTATAGCCTTAGTTTGGCTTAAAATGTAGCAAAAAGTTCCGTGTACCTCTTGGGCTATTGGAGATGGTACAGGAAACAGGCAAAGCTTACAAGAAATGTTACACTGTACTTAGTCTATAAAAAGCTTTCTGGTTCCATACATTAACCTTGACCTCACTTTACATCTTGGAAATTTTAATGGGATGACTATAAACAACATACTCAATGTTCTAAATAAGTAATGCCCAGGCAATCAGGTAATTTGTAGTATAATATTGAGAATCCAATTATTTACCCTAGCAAATCTCTCTTTACAAATTAATTACGGCAACATTACCACAAACCCAATGGGGAAAAAGATCTTTCTTAGTTTAACAATAAGACCACTAATCTTTACCTTATGATCAAAATATTAAAAGTGAGAAGAATAAAACTCGTGTCGGCAAATACTACATGTCTTTTTTCTTATCAAAGAAGTCTAACTTAGACTAATACATCAACAGCTCAAATTTCAATGGTTAACATCTTTTTCCACCTTAATGCAGTGTATGAAGAATAGCACACATTAAAGTTTGTTACGAAAATAGAGTTTATTAAAAACATCCCTATTGTTTGAGGAGCTTTCACCGTTACCTTGTCTTAAATTAAAAAAAAAATAGAGAGCACTTCTAATTAGGATTTGTAAACTTTTAAAAGTCAAAACTTTTAAAAAGTTACAGCAAAAAAGGGCAATATATCTTCAGTATTTTTTGTTATTTTGTGGCTATTTTTAAATAGAAGGGAAGCAATCAAATTGCTTACAGACCCCACCAACTACTGTGAGGTGATGTAGCAGGAGCAAATATTATACAGCATCTGTACACCTCAGCTCTACACCCAAGTGTCCTGTCAGAGTCTGTCAAATCCAGTCTCTAGCGAGGAGCCTCTGCTGCTGAGCCAGAATCCTTCTCGGGTTCAACGGATGAGGTAGCCTCAGCAGGTGACTCTTGAGGTTTTACCACTGTGGCCACGGCCTCCCCCTGATCAAGTTCAGAAACAGTGTCTACGTTTCCCACTTGGCTAAGGGGAGGTTCACTGGCTTTGCTACCACCTGCCCCGTCTGGGAGCTCGTGCTTCTCCTTCCGATTCTCTTCCTTCTCTCTACGGGACTCTCTATCTCTGGAATCCCTGTCTCTGTCCCGATGCCCACCAGAGCGTCTATTTCTCTCTTCCAAGTCTCTGTGTCTGTCCCGGTCAGGGCTCCTCCTCCCCCACTCTCTCCTTTCACGGTTACTATTATCTCTATCATCATTACGGTTCCCATACCGTTCCCGGTCATTTTCCACCCTATTTCCAAAAGATCTTCTTCCAAACCTTTCTTGGTCTCTACCTGAATTGAACTGCTGCCTGCTATCATTTCTAAACTGCTGTGGCTGCTGCTGCTGAGCTGGCGCTGGCTGCTGGGATGGTGGTGGCTGCTGTGGCTGTGACTGTTGTGGTGGTGGCTGCGGCTGCGGCTGCTGCTGCTGTGGTTGTTGCTGCCTTCCATCTCTGTCTTCTGGTCCTCCTGGGCCTGGTCCTGGGCCCCCAAGCCCTGGCATTCCACCAGGCCTAACGAAGGGGCCATGTGGTGGAAAGGGCCCTTTCATTCCATGAGGTGGGGGCATAGCAAAGCCCCCTGGTCCTGGAGGCGGACCTCTGTGCATCATGTGAGGTGGCATGGGGCGAGGTGGCATCATAGGAAACCGCTGCAAGTGAGGTGGAGGCATCCCTGGGGGGCGCTGGAGTGGGATCAGGCCAGGTCTGGCACCAAGAAGACCAGTAGATGGTGCCTGGAGCCCAATTACGGGACCAGGTGCAACTCCTTGAGTACCTGAAAGATAACACAAAGGAAAATGTAAATGTCTATTTTCAGTTGTCTCTGACTCAGTTTCCCTCTGAATTCATGCTGAACTAAGGCCACGTTAGCCAGTGACAACCCAGGTAAGCAATGGGAGACTCCTTGTTTAGTTACCCAATACAGGCAGAGGCCACACAACGCTGCAGAGGAACTGTACACTGCAGTTCTCAGTCTCCTCCTCTAGCAGCCTCCCTCAGAAGCTGTGTTACTAACACTCAGGACATAAAGGCATGTATGTATTTAAGACAGCAGGATGTGTTCTCAAAGTTTACAATCGGATCCCATGTCCTAATGTGCCCACTCAGGAGAGGCCAAGGGCTTAAAGCATCTAGTCAAGATTTCATGTTCTACTACTTCCTGTAGCTATTATACAGTGTTCATCATCGTTCTAGGATCTACGATGAAGACACCACACACACACACACACAGACACACAGACACACAGACAGACACACAGACACATACAGACACACACACACACACACACACACACAGCTTCTTTTTCATTTTTTTCTAAGCATTGTTCCAAGTGTCATCTGTTAGGTCAACCTGAGGGCTGGATCCTGTGGCATCCTCAACTACACACCTTCTACTCTTCTCCCACAGGCAGTAAGACTGGCAAAGCTGGTGCTCTGTAAAGTCCTGCTCATTGCCTGTTTCTGGTGTGTAGGAGAGCCTGCTCATTCTGGCCCAAGAATCATGTAAGTTCAACCCAGCATGTACAGCAGTAGGGAAAAAAAAGGATTTGTTTTAGTCCTGAAAAACAGGTATCACATCTATTTCTTTCCAAATACAAAGAGCAAAAGTCACTATGATAAAAAAGCTATTCTGATAACAGAAAACGCTCCAGATAGTAACAGGTAATACAGTAGTGGGTAATAAGTCACATCATTTGCCCATGTACCACATAAAAATCTTTGAGAACAGGCGGCAGTGGCACACGCCTTTAATCCCAGCACTCGGGAGGCAGAGCCAGGCGGATCTCTGTGAGTTCGAGGCCAGACTGGGCTACCAAGTGAGTCCCAGGAAAGGCGCAAAGCTACACAGAGAAACCCTGTCTCGAAAAAAATAAAAACAAAACAAAACAAAAAACAAAATAAAAATCTTTGAGAAAGTCCTCCAAGTACACAAAGATGAACATTAGTCAGGAGTTACTTTTAATTTTAGGGTGTGTGTGTGTGTTTCAAGACAGGGTTTCTCTGTGTAGCCCTGGCTGTCCTCAAACTCAGAGATCCACCTGCCTCTGCCTCCCAAGTGCTGGGATTTAAGGTGGTGCACCACCACTGCCTGGAATTACTTTTGATACACACTAAGTGTTCCAAAATGGGGACAGTAGTACCTGTCACTTAAAATATGACTGAGTTCAGTGCCTATTGAGGTAACTCAATATTCCAC